AATTTGGACTATGAGCATGCTCTAACCGGAGGTCAATGGATGTTGGGTGATCACTACCTGACAACGCGCCCTTGGCGCAAGGGTTTCAACCCTAGGACCAATACCATTCAGTCAACTATGGTCTGGATACAACTCCCCGATGTCCCTATCAAACTCTATCATCCTGAAGCAGCACTACGAATAGCTAGCTATGCGGCTAACCCGATCCGCTTGGATCGAGCAACGGAGTCGGGTGCTAGGGAAAAATTCGCTCGGGTATGTGTTGAAGTAGATCTCACGAAGCCCCTACAGTCAAAGTTCAAAGTCGCGGGAATAGCATATGAATATCAATACGAAGATCTCACTAATGTTTGCTTTCACTGTGGGAGATATGGCCATGCACAAGCACAATGCCCGAACCTCCACATGGAGGATAGTACCCCGACACCCATGCACGAAGATACTAGGAGGCAAACTACCCATGCGGAATAATATGGTGAATGGATGTTGGCTAAAAGACGAGGAAGACAGCCCTACTCCAAACAACAACAGGCCGACGAGGGGAAGGCTCCGATACCGCAGTCACATGAGGGAAGCCAGTCGGGGGGCTCTCGGTTTGTAGTTCTTGTCGAAGAGGATGGGGAGATCATGACCGCAATGGAGCAAGCAGACCACACAAAGGCCCATGGTGCAACAAATTCTCACGCTTCAGTTAGCAATACTATAACCCATAAGAAAGTATGGGTAGAGAAAGGTATAAAGCAAAATAATCAACTCCAGAGAAAGGTACAGGGCAAAGTAACCAAGGCCCAGAGAAGGAGGGGGAAGGACGTATGCATGCAGAGGGAGGACTAGCACATGTGCATGGGACAGGTTCGACGGGAAGACAAGGAATTGAGACTATAAAGGTGAACCGAGAGCGGGAAGCTAGTCCATCACAGGCGGGCACTAAGCTGAGCATAAAGCACGCAAATAAGCCTACCAATAATGAAGGAGAGGCAGCTCAAGTTGACCCCACTACCACTAGTAATATTGAAGATGCAGTGCCGAGTGACAAGCCCCCGGATTTATCTGGCAGTACAAAGTTCACAGGCTGTCCAATAACAGAAGAAAAATCAACATCTGTACAGCTTGAGAAAGATAAGTTGGGAGAGGAGCAACCTCTCGTGAAGGAAATGGCATATATGAGCCAACCGATGGGGAGCCTTGATCATGAGGCTCCTGCACGTTCGATCTAAAGTGGGCCATGGCCTCACCACCCTACAACTTTTTTTAATGGATCTACGTATATTTGTATTGAATTGTAGGGGAGCTGGAAGCAAGCATTTTCTGCGAGTTTTCAAAGAATACCGGCGTAAGCACAGGCCGGGCATTGTGGTCATTACCGAGCCTCGAATTAGTGGGGCGCGAACCAGGGAAGTTATCGATAGCATGGGTTTGGATGGTGAGCTGGTTGTTGATGCGGTGGGATTCTCGGGGGGTATCTGGGTCCTCTGGGACAAATACCTAGTCTCTATTTCGGAAACTACAAGATCATCCCAACTGTTTCACGTCTCAGCCCAGAGTGGTGCTACGAAGTGGGGCTTATAGCTGTTTATGGTAACCCGACACTTATCCAACACTGGGAGCTCTGGGATCACTGAGAGGAATTGCGGAAGAGATGACTGAACCGTGGCTCGTTGCAGGCCACTTCAACTCAATTCTCCATGCCTCGGAGAAGTCAGGTGGGGCACCTTACATTGCGAACCGAGTACGTGATTTCCAGGACTGCGTCTTGGATTCAGGGCTGATTGACCTGGGTTTCTATGGACCACCATTTATATGGTTCCATGCAGGGTTGAAAGAAAGGCTGGATCGGGGATGGGTAATCAATTTTGGCAGAATGCTTTCCCTGAGAGCACCGTCCAGCATCTCTCGAAGATCAAATATGATCATAGGCCACTGCTGATTCACACTAACCCGAATCACCAACCAGCGGGACCGAAACCTTTCAGGTTCATGGCTGCGTGGCTGCTTCACGAGAATTTTCAAGAGATGGCGGAGCATGCTTGGTCGAAGGGAATGGATCTACATAGATCTATCAAGGCCTTCATAGCTGACGCAAGGTCTTGGAAATATCATACTTTCGGCAACATTTTACGGCGGAATGATGCTCTACTAGCTAAAATTGCGAGGCTTGAAGTAGAAGGGGATGGAGACTCGGATTCAGTTGCGATGGGTCAACATCGGCAAGAGCTCGAGGATGTTCTACTGCAAGAAGAGATTATGTGGTGTCAAAAAGCTCGTCTGGAATGGATTGCGCACGGTGACAAAAATACAAAGTACTTCCATGCTAGAACTATTCAACGACGAAGGAGGAATAGAATCACTGCTTTACGTGATAGTGAAGAAAATTGAGTGGAAGATGAAATCCAACTTCAGGGAATTGCAAAAGCTTTTTTTCCAGACCCTGTACACAGACGAGAACGAGCCGGGGCAGCCACTTACCCATGCCTTCCCCTCCCTGGCAGGGGCAGATTGGGCTATCATTTCGCATAATTTCAACGAGGAAGAGATTCACCAAGCTGTTATGGGAATGGGTTCTTTAAAGGCTCCTGGTAGTGACGGACTAAGTCCTTTATTCTTTCAATGTTTTTGGGATTTAGTGGGACCAGGTGTTGTCGACTTTGCTCAAAAGTGTTGGAATGCCCATCACAAGTGGAGGAGGTTAATGACACTATCCTTTGTCTGATTCCCAAGGTGAATCGTCCCTCCCCGATCGAGCAGTACATGCTTATAAGCCTATTCAACGTTACTTACAAGATCCTAACGAAGTGCTTGGCGGAGAGGATGAAGAATCTCATGCCCAGACTTATGGATGAGACTCAGACGAGCTTTGTCCCGGGCAGGCATATTACTGACAATATTTGCATTTTGCAGGAAATTGTTCACTCCATGAGAGCTAAACAGGGGAAGCGGGGCTTGATGGTCCTTAAGATTGACCTCGCCAAAGCTTATGATCGAATACGTTGGACTTTCGTACAAGAGACACTCATGTTCGCTGGTGTCCCCTCGAGCATTGTTAATTTGGCAATGCAGTGCATTACTTCGGCGAGTATGAGAATACAGTGGAACGGGGGCTTGACGGAGAGCATTGTCTCCTCTCGAGATCTCCGCCAGGGATGCCCGTTGTCCCCATATCTCTTCACCCTGTGCATGGAGAGACTGAGTTATGTCATCAAGGCTGTAGTAGCGGAGGATTCCTGGAGACCCATCAAGTTGTCGAGCTCAGGTATGGATCTATCCCATTCATTTTTTGCTGATGATTTAATTCTATTCGGTGAAGCTTCGATGCAGCAGGTTCATGCAATTACGAGATGCCTGGAGCAATTTGGAGCTGCCTCTGGTCAGCAGGTCAGCAAGCCCAAATCCATGATATTTTTCTCAAAGAATGTCTCGGCTATGTTGGCAAAGGAAATAACGGAAGCCCTAAGTATCCCAGAGACCAAAAATCTGGGGTGGTACCTTGGTGTACCCGTCATTCACGATAGGGTATCGAAGGCCACCTTTGTTGAACTGATTGATAAAGTGGATTCTCAGTTATTAGGCTGGAAGGTGAACACCTTGTCCCTAGCCGGGAGAATTACCCTAGCACAGTCAGTCCTAGCATCCTTATCGGCCTACACTATGCAAACTACTTTCCTGCCGGCCAGTGTGCGTGAGTATATTGACAAGAAAATCCGGGCATTCATTTGGGGGAGCTCGGAAGCAGGGAGGAAAATTCACCTGGTGAAATGGGACACAATTTATTGCCCCAAGGAGGAAGGAGGGCTTGGCCTTCGTAACGCGACAAGGATGAATGAAGCATTCATGATCAAGATTGCTTGGCGGCTCCTAACCGAACCTAATAGCATGTGGGGAAGAGTTATTCATGCGAAGTACATGAGGAAGGTAGAGGGCGGATGGCAGCCGCGGGTCAAGGGAAGGTTATCTAACCTTTGGCGCGGTGTTCTCCGTGTGATGCATCTTCTCCCAAAAGCTGTCATGTGGAATATTAAGGGCGGACAACAAACTAGATTTTGGACTGATCGGTGGGTGCAGGATGGACCAACGCTAGCAGAGTTGGCCGTTGACCTCACCCTAGAAGCGCACCTCATTACAGTGGCAGAGATGGTCCTCAATGGTGAGTGGAACATATCGTACTTGCGAGCTTTTCTTCCACATGATACTGTAATGCAGGTTTTACTCCACCCAATCCCGCATGAGACAGGAGAGGATGTCCTGGTGTGGAGGTTTTCTCCTTCGGGTAAATTCAACTTAAAGACAGCCTACGAGATAACGGATGATGTGGAACGGGCGGGTGGCTCCCATCCCATATGGCGTGCAATATGGAAGATACCAGCTACGCAGAGACGAATTTTTTTCTGGTTGGTGGCTCACCAGAGGTTACTTACAAATAGCGAACGGCGGCGATGACATCTTGCCTTGTATGACATTTGCTCGGTCTGTGGAGCAGAAGGGGAGGATACCCTCCACGTTCTTCGTGATTGCCCTTTTGCCTGCTCTGTATGGGTGGAGGTGCTGAATGATGAGCCTGATCAAACTTTCTTCCAACCCGACCTGGAAAGATGGGCGCTCCACTACATCACAGGACGCAGCGCCACCGTCAACCCTACAAAATTTGTGGTCTTGTGCTGGCTACTGTGAAGAAATCGCAACAGGAAAGTGTTTGAGAGTAAATTGGAGCCAGCCCAAAGCATTTGCGACAGTGTAACCCATCTTGAACAAAACATTAAAGAGGCGCCAGAGAAAATGTCCTCGATCGGACTAGCTGCGGGTATCCCCGCTGAACAAATGGTTGCCTGGAAGCCCCCTCCACCGGGGTGGATGTGCCTCAACTCTGACGGATCGGTTGTAGGGGGCCACGCAGTAGCCGGAGGAGTGCGGCGGAATCATGACAGACGTCTTATTGCAGCCTACTCCAGGAACCTGGGAGGAGGCGGTGACACGAGCAGAGTTAGCGGGTGTGGTGCATGGCTTGCATGCGGTTTGGAGGTTGGGGCACTGGAAAGTGGTGGTACAAGTCGATTCTATTGCTGCAATTCGACTGATCAAAGAGCTGAAGGATTTCCACCCGCATTTTGTTCTTGTTAACGAAATTCGGGGCCTCTTAGCTCAAGATTGGGAAGTTGATATCCAGCACGTCTATAGGGAGGGAAATGTGGTGGCGGACTTCTTAGCTTCGTTGGGTCATGGGTTTTCGCCAGGTGACCATGATATCGAGCTACCTTTTCACGGTTGAGCTATTTGTTGTATTTTTTATACGATTGGGGTTCAGACCTCCCGCATGGTTACTCTTAATTAAAGGTTGGGGCGCCCTTAGCGCCCTGGTTCTTACCCAAAAAAACGTAGCACTGTTAAATTATAGAATGAAGCCTACACCAGCAATTGACTTCGGCGAAGAAGACCATTATCATTATATTTAATTAACTGTTAGATAGGCTTTTTTCATGAAAAATCGATATACAGGAACACAATTGTCATCTTTCAATAGTATAAGGACTTCAATAGTAATTTTAAAAATTAGAACAGTCCAACCCAATTTATTCAGTTGGGCTCAACTTAAGCAGAGTTCTTGACTTAAGAAACCAATGTCCTATAAATCAAAAGGCAGATTGTGTCAAGCTCAGAAGAGACAGGCTATTACAGTTGGATCACAAAAGAGCCTTGTTCGTTTGGATGAGGAATTCTAACGGATTAATTTGACTCAACTATTTTGTTTTGAGACAATTTGACCAAATTGATCCGTTCGGCAGGACGAAATTCATATGAAACAATTGTGTCTGGAAAATTTCAAATTTACTCGTTTTGAGCCAATTACAATCGTCTAAGGTGGGGGCAGACAATTCGAATTGACTTTTAATTTACTCATTTTGTAAAATGAGACAATTGGCCAAATTATCTCTTTTTCGGTTGATTCATCCAAACGACCCACCTTATTCTCGTTCTGCCCCTCAACTATTTCGATGAACCCGATTTTTTCCATGCTAACAAAAAAAGTGTTATCATTCTAGATCCTTCGTGATGGCAAGGCAATATTTGTTAGACCAAATTTCTATTTCAAATCAAGAACTTAACCCCTATCAATCAATCAATCAATCTGATAGAAATCTCGAATAGATGCATGAATCATTTGGCCCAATTCCAATTTTGTGGTGCAGTTTGTGAGAACGAATGTACAATTCAATTTCTCTAATCATATATTTCAGCCGGGACAATTTGTTTCTTGAGAAATAAATCAATATGTAATGCGATTTGTCATTAATTCCATAAAATTTACAAATATTGTTAAAATGAATCGAGTTGATATTTGGATATGCGAAGACATATTCAAACCATTAACCCCCTGAAGCCGCTTACGTAAATGAAAGACAAGCTAATTGACATCTATGAACGTTGACAACATATGACAACACTGGAAAATGACTCTCTCTCTCTCTCTCTCTCTCTCTCTCTCTCTCTCTCTTACTTTTCCCTCTCTTCCTTTTCTCTCTGTTTTTCCAAATGCTAGATCTGGATTTTCGTCGGAAGCATTCTTCCCTGAAGGTGTTGTTTCATCCTCCTTAGGATCCCTAATGGAGAAGAACAAGATTGATGTCTTAATTAATTGCTTGGAGCTATTGGAGACCAATCTTTTTTTGAGTTATGAAACTAGTTGGAAGGAGTTGTCCGATTTATCTCTATCTTCTTCATCTCCACACAAACTCCCACATATCATCAAAAGATACTACTATCCTGACAAGTGTTCTTATCGCTGGGAAAATCCACAGAGCATAAACAAACCTCCCAACCATCTTCTTTCAAACAAAATATTCATATCCCGTCCTCTATATACCTTAAAAATGCCCAGATCCCTTTCTGTGTTAGTAACTAGAGTTGAATGCAATAAATCTAGCCTCTTTAAACCTCCTATCTACCCAGGAAGATCTATCACAAAAGGTGAAATCATCGAGCCACTGATAGCGTCGTATTTGCACAAGTTTTCACTCCTATTTCCTTACCATTTTAGCTCGAATTTGTGGTTTCTTGGCCTATTTTATGCTAGGTTGTGTTGTTTTGTCGTATTTCAGGTCCTATCATGTAAATTGAAGCAAAGGCGCAAGTTTCAAGTCAATCGGAATTCATTTGGCAATTCGGGAGAAGAAACACGAGCATGACCTGAGGAAGAATGGATTTCTACCTCATATTATGGACAAATAATCATGGAATCTTGTCATGAAAAGAAAGAGGACGAGACTATGAGCGTATGGGATCAAACGGTGATTGATTCGGAGTCCGGACGAGGGAGAAACGAAGCATTAAATAGGAGCGGAGGAAGAAATACGGGCATCCCCTGCCCAATTACGGGCGTAATTGCCTCTGCCCTGCCCGTAAATGCAATGTCGAGCAAAAACCCTGAGAATGCCTTCGAAGATCAAATTACGGGCAAGAGCAAAATGAACTACGGTCGTAATTCCACAAATACTGGCAGTAATTAGGTAATTACGACCGTAATTCCCCTCATAAGAGTTAAGTGAAACGCGCATTTTGGGCGAAATACGGGCAGACCTTGTTTACGACCATAATTCAGCCCGTATTTCGCCCAGAATCGGGTTTTTGAGGCAGATTCGAGCCAAAGGAGAGAGAGTCGACTTTTTGGAGCAAAAATAGAGTTTTAGAGAGAGAAAGTGCGAAGAACAAACCCTAGGAGCTATTTGGAATGGATTTCTCACCATTGAAGCCCAGATTGCATCCCCAGGAGTGAAGATCATCATCCCGAAGCAGATTATCCTCACCTTTATGAGTATGACTACTCTGATTTCTGTTTTCCTCTCAATCTATGGAGTAGAACTTTCTCTCACTTGGGTATGAAGAACCCTAGTTCCATGTATTAGGGATCTTGATTGTAATGACTTGTGATTGTTATACTTTTTGATTTTAATCGATTGATGCATGATTTATTGAGTCAATTGAAGTCTGATCATCTTTTCTTGATTTCTGCTGCAACCTGAGATAGATAGAATCTGATTAGGTTGCTAGAGCTTCATCAATCGGTAGTGGTAGATTGATTATATGAGAGTTAATTGATTTACTGCTTTGTACTGGAACCCAATTCCAGTAGTGGAGTTCTGCGTTCATAGCCTCAGCTTTCTATCCCGGTGAAGACTAGTCGTCTGTCGGGTAGTTGGACTGAGAGGGCTTGGTCAGCGTAAGAGATTTCAAGCTACTGTCGGATCTTCCGCAGTTTAATCCACAGTTAATCAACCTAGGGTAATTACAACAGTGACCTAACTAAGGAGCTAGGGGGACTCATTCCCGAGTGACTCTTCCCTTGCTTTAGAAAACCGAATAATTTCCTGCTTTCTTATTGCTTTTGCTTAAAAACACAATCACTCGACTTAGTTTGCTAGATAATAGATATTCACGGAGTAGACAATAGATCTAGACCCCGAGTTGATAAATAGAGTTTGCCTGTTACTGCATTTCCGGACTGCGATTACACTTGGTCGCAGTTTGGTGTTGTGTTTTAGCGTGTCAGCCACACAAACCCAACCCTAAACGTGTAAAAAGAGTTATGAAGCCATTGTCTCACTCAATACACATCTTACCAACCGAGAGCTTCCATTCAATGCTTGCTAAACAGGGGATTTTCTTCAGCAATAAAGCTACTAAGAGCGATCCTCATCTATTTGATATCCACTACAACTCTGACTCCTCAGAATGTACTGAAACCCAACAAATTCCCCTTATGACTCCTCCAAACCTTCAAATCCAGTTCTGCAAAATGGCAAACAATAAAGGATTTGCCCTGACCAATCCGAAACAGGAATGGAAGGAGGAATACATGTGATTGTTTTCGCTTATGAATTGCCCCAGAACCAGGAAGGCCCTCGCCTACGTCTAGTTGGGAAGATCTTCACTGACAGAGAAATTAACAAACAGGCGATTCCTGGGATGATCAACAGTGTGTGGTCTGACTTCTCTGAGCCTACTGTGCAAGAGGTACCCAGGGATAGAACTACTTTCATTTTCACTTTTTCTAGGAAGGAGGAGATGGATAGAGCATGGGAGGGGAGACCCTAGGCAATCTCAAGGAATATGATGCAAATGAAGCAATGGGATGACTCCATCAGGCCACAAGATATCAACTTCGACCTTGTCGATTTCTGGGTTCAAATTCATGGAATTCCAAAACATCAAAGAACAATACCCAATGTTGAATCGACGGTCGCCATGTTCTAGAAATTTTATGTTGTCGAAAAGGGGGGACTCAATTCAGAGAGGTATATGGAATTCATCCGGGGGTTCATTCAAACAAATATGCCACGTCCTCTTCCCCCTTGTTCTTATTTCAATACAAATGGGAATAGAGAATGGTTGGGCTTCTGGTATGAGAGATTGTACAATCTGTGCTACTACTGTGGTATGTAGGGTCATAGTAAGAAAGTTTGCAGCAGAAGGAAGGCGGATGTGGAAGCCGAGGTTGTTGTACCTCCCGAAGGAAGATTTGTAGCGTGGATGAAAGCTGGTACAAGAGCTGAGCGCCCGCCTCCTCCTCCACATGGTCGTCTCGTTCACCAATCACCTGGAGATGTTGGATCTAGCACGGGTTCGTCAGGGTATATCCTCAACAACGTCTGGGTTGCAGGGGCTACGTCGTCGACAACTAGGAAGTGTGGCTCCGGCGAATTCTGCTTCGCTAATAACTCCGCCTTCCGACGGGTCGACTGGGCTCGCTATTCGAGGACCTCCTGGCTTTACACCTCATCCCTATCTTCTTAGCAAACCCTCAATTAGGGGCCCCCTCTTCCCAAAGGGTCAAAACTCCTTCACCTTCTCAGAACCTCATCTATTATGGGGTCTCATAGGTGTTGTCATCATCTCTTTTCGGCGGCGACCACCCTACTACCCATCTTGCACGTAACTTGGCTAGCGAAAAGGAGACGGCGGCATGGCCACCAACCCAAGCCCAAGTGACTTCCTACCAGGCCCACTTTGGAGCACAAAACTATCCAACTCAACACAACCACCCTAACTGGGCCAAAATGATGATGGAGCTGAGCCATAAAAT